CCTTTTTCAAGATTTTCAAGAATGTATTTCTTTGCTGCTTTCAATTCTTCAAGTGATAGCTTGTAGAGAGGGCAGTATCCAGGTTGTGCTTCTGCTTCGAGAATGATGTCATGATCCACACCAGGTCTATGGGGTGGTAGCTCGTCGGATTTCTTCTTTGAAAAGACTTCTGCTAGGTCGTGATACTCCTTCGGAAGAGTCATCAGGATCTCGTTGATCTCTGGGTCCTGAATCTGCATGTTCTTCACATCGATAATATGGTCTATCTCATAGAGTGAAGTTGTAAAGGTTTCAACCTCCTTGTTCACCCTTCCTTTCTCGTGGAGTCTATTGAAGCCAACGCCCCCAATAGCACTGATGTCGATTGACGGAAATGTCTCTTGTCGTTGTGTCTTCGAGATCACTGTCTTGTGTCGTTCCCGTGTATGTTCATATCTGTTCTTCGTCTTCGATACTTCTCGATCAAGAAGACGGTCTCGTCGATTGGCATCGGCTTGATGGTTAGGATTCGGCTTCGGTTTCTGGAGAATAGCAGTAGGTGTCGGTACTGCCATTTTACTTGCTACATCGTCGAAAGGTGTCTTCTCGTCCGGCCAGATCATTCGGTATCGACGACAGTCCAATAGGACATCATTTTCTGCAAACCATTTTCTCCCGAGAATCATATCGTATTTTCCGAGATCGGCAATCAACATCGGAACTTGCTGCTGTATCCTTCCGTCCACACACATTGTAAGAAAGGTGACATGTGTTATCGGCTTACTAAGCTTCCCGTCAAATCCTCGAACAGGACATTCCTGTCCTATGCTCTCTGCTTTCAATCCAAATCGTTTACCGAGAAGTACACTTAATTCTCGGTTCAAAAACACGTATCCATCTGCTCCAGTATCACCAAGCGCTGAGATAGAAAAAGAGCGTCCATGGTGCATCAGTCTAGTATTAAAAACTAAACTATCCCTAGGACCTCCAATCAACTTGTGCAAATCCAGCGAGTATAGTGATACTTTCTGTCCACCTAGGTAGGAGACTTGACCTAGGCATCGGCTTTTCCCTGATCGTTGTCTTCTCCATTGTCGAGTTCAATGATACGGGGAGAAGGGTGGGCTGTAGCAACGGTGCTCGCTAGTCTCTTCTTCGGACAGTCACGAGTCATATGTCCTTGCTCCTTGCAGTTAAAGCATCGACCTTCTTTCATCAGGGTGTCACGCTCGGAGTTCGAGAGTCTTCCGGGGTTGGAGCTTTCTTCACGTTTCACACGAGGAGTGTACGTCGGCTTCGTAGTCGTTGTTGTTCCTGCACTACTACCAAGAATAGTAGTTACTCGCGTGCGGGAAATAGTCTTTGCCTCCTGCTGGAGGTTGATCTCGTGAGACATACTCTGGCAAGTCTTGGAGAAAGATTCAAACGTAACCATATCCTGGTTGACCGCCCACATCACCTGGCTCTGGAGCAGGTATGGTAGTTTTGAGTACAAGTCACGTTTACGGTTCTCTTCAATCACGGCAGCTTCTTCAGCAAGCTGCATGAATTCAGCAAGGAAATCGGTGAAGTGATCCTTTGGCGTCATTATCAATTTGTGATATGCGGTGTAGGCTTCGGCACGTCGATTCGGATTCGCGAAGACAGGCCTTAGATGGACAATCATATCCTCGGCGTCCACGTATGCGTTACTTGAATCAGAACTCATTCGGGGTGCAATATGCAACTGAGCCTTGCCTTCACAACGACTTTGCACATAGAGCTTGCGATGTACTGGCAACGGGTAGTGGTCGGCATTTGCTTCGAGCTTCTGTCGTATCACAGTCTCCCAGGTTTCAAATCGGACTTTTTTACCGTCGCTAAACATCGGAGCATCCGGCATCTTTGTTGTCTTTCGGTTCGTAATGGCTTCCACCATCGGTGTGCTGGAGCTACTCTGGTTCTGGAGATTTACAAGGCGGAAAGCAAGATCACCACGCTCACGGATAGCGATATCCCGGTGGGCGATCGCTTCATCTCGCTCCTGCGTGAGCGACTCGATAACAATCTCGGTTTCAATCTTGTCGGAATGTAGGACTGTCACTTCGTCCTCTAATTCCTGGACTTTCCTCTTCAAGTTCTGATACTCGCGGGCGAGTTCGTGAAATCGTTCACGAGTCGGGGTCTTCTGCAGCCGTTCGCGAATGGAGGAACCTTCTCCATTACTATCATCTTCACCAGCATCAACTGGTCTCTGTGGTTCGGGGGTCGGGGTATTCGGGTCGAGGGCAGCGACAATCTCCTGCTCAACGGATTCTTCTTCATCTTCAGGCAAATCAGCAACCGGCTGCTTGCCACGGTTCGTCGGGTATCTCTTCGATCCGGCCATTCTGATTGGTCAGATATCAAGTTCAGGTTCGGGTTCAGGTCTTGGCTTGTGCGATGCCAAGGAACGAAATTAGGGTAAAGCTGGACCGAGACCAATCACAATGATGGTCTGTACAGTCGTACTGCTTTGTTGGAAATGAAAGTGGTACTTAGTATTATGTTACCAGCCAGTTCTTTAAACAAAAGAGTGCATTTCAACGAGAATACTAAGTACAGAGAAAGAAGAAGAAAGAAAGAAGGAAAGAAACCTGCGAGACAGGAACCTTTTATGGGATCCTGTCACGATCCAACAATCAAACAATGCAAACCTCATCAAGACGGAAACTTCCGGCAGAAATCCTCCTAGATCGTCACAATAAACTCATATCCGCAGTGCGGATGTGGATATCAACTCATATCCAATATCCGCAAATTGCGGATATAAGGATCGATCTGATATCCATTGGAGCGGATATGCCGCAGTCTAGTTATAACCTAGGAATAGGGACTATATAATAGTGCCGTATCGGTACCGAATACCTACCGATTAAAGAGTGGTTTAGGTTAGACTCGTTTAGTTAGCACCCGAGGACGGTTTTCCATATAGTCTAGGATCCCCTAGGATTTCTATTAATTCTAGCAAGAAATCATCTTAGCATATTAGAGAATGTCTTACGCCTACAAACAGTATACCTTTACAAATCTATAGATACACTCAAATTTTAAGGGTTATTAAT